AAAAGCGAGGATGAGGACGCGCCTGACATGAAGTGTGACGATATGATGACTGTGAGTTTTGCTTTGTGTTTTCAAGAGGCATTCATTTGTTTTTATTGTTGGGTTATACTGGCCATGTTTGCATCAGTAGATGATTGCACCATGAAATTTTGAGTTGTTAGTTTCAGAAAAGCACTTTTTTATATATAAAAAAAAAATGCATTTATTCTGTCAGATGATACACTATACAATGTCCAGCAGTCATGTGACCAGAGTCCTGATTTAGTTGTTTTTCCTTCTTGAATTTTAGTAATATTTGTTGTTTTGTACTATTTGTCTATCAATCTATCTAAATAAACAATATATATATATATATATATATATATATATATATATATATATATATATATATATATATATATATATATACATATCCCATTTAGCTTCAAAAATCTAATTTTTTTTCTTTTTATTTTTTTTTATTATATTTATCAGTGTAAGTCAGGATTCAGGTCACATGACCACTAGACATTACTTCACAATATCTGAACAATATATACACATACACAGTGCTAGTAAGGCCCCTTTTGAAAATGAAGATTTTTTTAATCAATTTCTCAGTTATTATAGGCAAAATATTTTGATGCATTTAAACAAAACAGATTTATTAAACAGATATATTTATTAAAATAATATTTTAGTCACCAAACATATTTAGAAATTGAAAGATAATACAATTAAATTGTAAAAAAATATAACAACCTACAAAATTTCAACAAAATTTGATTGATTTGATTTTTTTTTCCTTTTATTAAATTTGTATTTATTATTTTTCTATAAGATGTAAATTTGGGTAAACAAATTTTTGGACCAATTTCGTAAGTTATTTTGTTAGATAAGCTCCAGATTTGGCTTAATCTTATTACTTACACAAATGTGTTAACTAACAATACATAAGAACATAATATCACTTATTTAATAACTGTCAATGTCAATACATTGTTTCATATTAGTTCACATCACATTAATAAAATAGTTTTTCAGCTAAAAACGCATTAGTAAATTATGAAATTAAGATGAATACATAATATAGAAGTATTGTTCAATTGTAATTTGCTTTGGCTAGCGTAAAAAGTAAAGACATTAATCTTACCATAGTTACCTTATGTATCCATGTATTATGTAGATGAGTAGATTTTCCAGGTCATTAATAATTTAACCCGATCGCATGGTTCCTCAGTGCTACCTGTTCCACATGTATGTGGGTGTGAGAGCCGGCGGTGGCATCGGTGATGAAATCGAGGACCCTGCTGGAGACCCTTATGAGCTCTACCGTATACTGTTTGACATCACCTTCTTCTTCTTCGTCATCGTCATCCTGCTGGCCATCATTCAGGGTAATGCAATACTGCTGCAAAAGCAGGCAACACGCTCAATGCTTTGAACATTCAGAACAGCGGCGTAATGTCGAATGCTTTCATTGTCATCCAGGTTTGATTATTGATGCCTTTGGTGAGTTGAGAGATCAGCAGGAGCAGGTGAAGGAGGACATGGAGGTCAGTGGCTACAGTCAATTCATTATCACTTGAATCCAGTCCTGTACACAGTGCAGTCATTGACCTTACACAATCATGGCAAATCTGAACTTTTTGATTTAGTGGCCAATTTCATTTTTACTCATTCATACATTTGAGTACCTCATTCCCCAATGGGGATTAGGGGTGGGGTTTGGGGGGCATGCCTCCTTTTAAAAGTCGTACAGTTACACGCTAAAGACAAGTATGAGATTGTACGTTATCAGATACTTTTCTGAAAACACGTAAAACAGTTACGTTTCCTCTTGAGATCGGGCTAACATCCAAGGTTGTTTCTTCTGGATGTTTTCTTCACTTTTCTTCAGTTCACCTTTAGTGCTTCTTATTTTTATGGCGTAAAGGTGTATTTCTGCCACCTACTGAACTGGAGTGTGAAATGTATTGGCTGCTAGTGAAACATTATCGTTACACCCTTAGTTCTAATTTAGTTTTTATACACACAGTTCAGTAATTTACACCAGTGACAACTGCACTAGATTAACTTTCCACCGGACTGAACAACTAGTTGTTGATCACTCATTTAAACATTGAGACAGTCAAACTGGATGCCCACAACACGTTTCAAGAATTTTGGCCCTGTTGATCTTCCATATTCAGCTGTTAATTCACTTTTAGTGCCCAACCCTGTTATAAAATAGTTTTAATGGTGACATAAAGTTTCCATATGTACATACCAGTACACCATTATAATATTCCCCAATAAACATGATGTCTGACTTTATTTATACATATTAAGTATATGTATCCCGAGGAACATGTCGTGCCTTTTCATGCGAAATTGAAAATTGTCATTTACTCACCCTTCACTAGTTCCACACGTATGTAATTGTCTTTTTCTTCTGTTGAACACAAGAGATTTAGAAAATGCCTGGTTGCTGGCACCCATTGACCTCCATAGTATTTTTTTCTAATATGGATATCAATGGGTACCAGCAACCAGCAATCTTTAAAATATCTTCATGTGTGTTTAACGAAGAAGAAACCCATAAAGCTTTAAAACCATGAGAGGATGAGCAAATGATGAGGTCACTTTCATTTTTGGGTGAACTATAGATTTAATGACTTATAAACAACTGGGAAAATGACCCATTTGTGTTGTCAAATCTTTCTAGAGGGATGTAAACAGTCCACAATAACAAGTCACTGATTTAACCTCAATAAATCCAAAGCTATTGAAAATATGATTTATACATATATATATATATATTAACTCTCAAAATAAATACTCAAGATGCTTAAAGTAAAAGCTCAAAAATAGGCAACTCAAAAATAGGTACAAAAGTATTTAAATGAAGTTCCCTCTTCTGAAACGTTACAGTATGTATGTGGCCTAAAAAGAGCACATTCTGTTTTTCTAGACTAAATGCTTCATCTGTGGAATCGGGAATGACTACTTCGACAGAACTCCGCATGGCTTCGAGACGCATACCTTACAAGAGCACAATCTGGCTAACTACTTGTGAGTAAAAACACCAGATGACCTTTATTAAGCAAACGACACACTTGCATATCCTGATATAATATTTCTCTTGAACAGATTCTTCCTGATGTATCTTATCAACAAAGATGAGACTGAGCATACCGGTCAGGTAATCTAATCAAATCTATTGGATTCCTTTAAATATCCTGCTACCATTTTATAGTTTGAGGTTGGAAACGATTTTGATCCTTGCAAATGTTGATTGTGGTATGTAAAATAAAAAGATTTTTTTTCAATTTTCAGAACTTTGTTGTAGGAATGCACCGATATGGATTTTTCAGCCGATATCGATAACCGATAGTTTTTCAGATTTGAAGGCTGATAACTGATTTCTATATAGGCTGATAAAAATAAATATTGCTAAATGTTATATTTTTATACAGTGAACAACTGATTTTATTTTAAAAGCTTTATAAAAGTTTAATCTGATCTTATGAACTGAATAGTCTACTCAAAGCAAAAATTTATATAGACCTAGATTCACGATGACACAGAAATCAGCATGCCAAGGATAAATGATTTCCTTTTCTTCACATAGCAAATTAACATGCAACTTGACTGTTGAATAAAAAATAATAGGTTAAAAAACAAAATGGGATTTAATTAACAAAGTTATATAAATATGTTTAAATAAAATAAAAGAATGAAGAACTGAGGCTAACTCAAATGTTCTTAAATAAAACATGTACAAATATGTAATGTCTAAAAAAGTGTTTTAAGAGGTGTTTTGACAGTTCAGAGCCACTGTACAACCGAAAAGCTTAATGCAGATTGTATTAAAATTACTTAATCTATCGACTTGAAGATGGAGAATTTTAACATCGGACCGATAACGATAACATTAAAAACAGCATTTATCGGCCGATAACAATATGGCCGGCGATATATCAAGCATCCCTACATTGTTGCTTTGTAAACTTGCCCTTAAGATCAAAATATATTCAAAACAAGTGCTTTTAAACCCTATAAATTTCCTGTCTGACGTTTGAAATACTGTTTCCAGATGCAAGCCACTGCTTATTTAAATGGAGAAAATATTTGTTTATGGACACTGTTTAGTCATATAACACATTGAAGTGAATTCTCTGTAAAATCATGGTGCACACCACAGTCTCCGCACTTGCTGCATCACAGACACCAATATTTTAACAATTTATAAAAAAAATATAAAAAAATCACTTTCTGGCCATTGGATATTAGGCATGGATTATATATATATATATATATATATATATATATATATATATATATATATATATATAATTTATATCATGATTTTTTAAAAAATGTATTACATTGCTCTGTAAATGTTTATTATTACCATTTGTCGAGTCTCCCTGTACAGTTTGATAGAGCACTTGGACCTGGAAGCTGCTTCGTGTGACGTTACACTAAAGTGGATAAATTCTTATAAATGTTTTCTGCTGCAGGAGTCGTATGTGTGGAAGATGTATCAGGAGAGATGCTGGGATTTCTTCCCTGCTGGAGACTGTTTCCGGAAGCAATATGAGGACCAGCTGGGCTAGAGGACCTGTTACTGTCCTCAGTCCAAATACGAGAGAAATCACTTCAATCAAGCTTCATTTACACAAGCTCCTAATAACCACACCGATTTCTAGGATATTGTGTAGATTTGATACAACATCCAAAGCTGCTCTCTAATTCATCCAATCAGAAAAACCTCAGCCTTTCTATACCAGAAATAATGACCGCGACAAACTCATTGTGATCAAAGCCAAAAATGTAAACTCAAGTGCAACATTAAGGGAAAAAAACCTTAAAAAGAAAAGAAAGAAAAAAAAACGTAGCACACATTGCCAAACTAAGACACAAAGCCATGTTTGATTAAAAACAAACAAAACTTAAAAAAAAAAAAAAAAAAAAAAAAACCACATGGTCAAAGCCTCATTTGCTTTACTCACAAATGCACATGAGCTTATGAGATGTTATCTTATGTATGTTTTTGATGAGTTGAATGAACACAAATATGCACAAGAATACCCTGTGAGTATTCCGTGAGTGCCAAACACGACTTATGCCTGTTTGATTTAAAAAAACAAGACGATATAGAATGTGCAATGTCACTGGTGGAACGAATAACTGGACAACATTCGATCATCCGCTTCAGTCCAATAGATCAGTGTTTCTCAACCATGTTCCTGGAGGACCACTAACACTGCATGTTTTGGATGTCTCCTTTATCTTTCACACCCATTAAAGGTCTCTCAGTCTCTGCTGATGATCTGAATAAGGTGTGTTTGGTTAAGGAGACATAGAAAATGTGCAGAGCTGCTGATCCTCCAGGAACGTGGTTGAGAAACACTGCACTAGATGTTTCACACACACAGAAAAGTGCCTTAAGACAAGAGACTATGCAAATATTTTGTTCCCGCTCGTACGTTTCGCTAGTTTGCATTTTAGTTTCAGCTCTTCTCACTTGTTAGCAGTTCTGTAGCTTTAGTTCACGATCACTGCTTTTTTAATGTTTGGTTAAGGTTGAACAACTGAAATGGCGTCTGCCTGATTGTTTATGAAGTATGATCACCAAAAAACAAAAATGGAAATACATTTGACGATGAAAACGAACAAATTTATTGAGGAAAAAGTCAATACTGTAAACTGCTACTGTATGGCCATTTGTATGTATGTAGTAGCTTTGGTGATTTGCATTTGTTTTGAGCGGGTGGAACGAAAATAAAGTAGCTCATGCAATAAATTCCTGCTGCCTTTCATCTGAATGCAGAGATGATATATTGATGAAGTGGTTTCTCATGAGTGAATTAACTATTAGAAGGGAAAATTCACAAACCTTTTTGAGATTTTTTTTTATTCTGTTGAACAAAAGAAGATATTTTGAAATCTGTAACCTCTGACTTTCATAATGTTTGTTTTTCTTACTATGGAGGTAAGTGGTTACAGCAAGGGTGTCCACACTCTACCCTGGAGAGTTTAACTCCAACCCTAATCAACCACACCTGAATCATCTACTCAAGCTCTTGCTAGATATACTAGAAACGTCCTGGCAGGTGTGTAGAAGCAAGTTGGAGCTAAACTCAGCATGACACCGGCCCTCCAAGACCGAGTTTGGACACCCCTGAGTTATAGGTTTCCAGCATTCTTCAAAATATCTTCTTATGTGTTCATCAGAATAAAGGTTTGAAATGGAAGATGAAATGTTTTGAAATGAGTAAATGTTTTTTAAATGAGTAAGTGTTCATGTTTGGCCAAACTATCCCTTTAATGAAAAGTTCACTTGGCGTGCTCGGTCAGGAGATCATGCTGTCCAGCCAGTCCTCCAGATCCTCCTCTGTCACTTCCTGTTTCTGGGGTTTAGGTTCTATCTCCACTTCTGACTTCATGTCTTTCATGTCTCCTGCTGCTTTTTTCACTTCCTCTTCTGACAAAGCTGCTGAGGTGAAAAACAAAATCACATTCTTACACGGGTATTCAGGAAGGTAGTGTGATTCTAAGAAACTGCAACGTTATTGAACAAACCAAATACTTAGCAAGTAAAATATAAAAATTTAGACTACAGAGCACTATATTCAAGGGCAACACGGTGGGTCATTGGTTAGCACAGTCGCCTCACAGCAAGAAGGTCGCTGGCTCAAGTCCCAGCTGGGTCAGTTGGCATTTCAGTTTGCATGTTCTCCCCATGTTACATGGGTTTCCTCCGGGTGCTCCGGTGTCTCCCACAATCAAAGATATCCGCAATAGATCAATTGAATAAACTAAATTTTCCGTAGTGTATGTGAGTGAATGAGTGTGTATGGATGTTTCACAGTACTGGGTTGTGTCTGGAAGGGCAACCACTGTGTAAACCATATGCTGGATAAGTTAGTGGTTCATTCTGCTATAACGACCTCTAATAAATAAAGGGACTAAGCCGAATGAGAATGAATGAATCAATGAATGAATGGAGTACTATATTTATATACTTAAGGATTATATTCATGGTATTTCTGCCTTTTTCTAGAACGTTACCAAACACCGATCAGGAAAGCTAAGAAAGTATGCTGGTTTGGGTATATATGCTTATTAAGAATTTCAAATCAACCATGAATTTAAAAAGGCCCAGCACCAAATCTTGGACACATTTTAAAAGAGTTTATTCCTGTTATTCAAAGCTGAGTTTTCAAAAGTCAGAGGACCCCCAGGAGAGGGGGAGTGTTTCAGGAAAAAGATTAGATCCAATTTAATGAGGTAGATAATACATTTCCATGCATTCAAACACACACTCTTTGTCTGCAATGCCCGTGCGTTCTCTCATCCATCGATGTAAAATTATAATTCTCGTAATTGAAAAAAATATTTGCATACTGACCACTGGGAAAACTCAAGATCATAGATATATGTCTATATGTGTATATATCTCTGGCTCTGGATGGCCACAGTCATCCACTGCACCTTTGTCCCGCATTCATTTCAAAGGAACGCTACCCTGTACTAAAATGGCAGCTGTATTAAAGCTTTCCTACCATTAGACAACAACAGGGTACGCAACATTTGATGTAAATTTATATGGGCAATGTTATGACTTTTTATATATTATATAGACACACAGATACATACGTCTCTACTGACACATTAAATGAAGGTAATTTGTTGTTGCTGAATAAAACTATACTTTAATAACCCCCTATTGAGCATTTTAAGAGTGTAGTTAGTGTAGTCATGTATAAACAGTGAAACAATGCAGTAAATGTTGAGCAAAAAACATCTAATGGGATTAAAATATATGAGCAAATCTATTTAATTTATGATTTGTCTTCACAAACTGACTAATAGTAATACTTTATAAATACTATTGTAGCTCATAATCAGAGGTTTATACCTAAAAACATGAAATCACCAAACCCTCACCAGTCTATTTCATTTAACAGTATAACACCTAGAAAGCTTGAAACCTTGTGGACTAACTAATTAGTGGTAACAGTTGGTCTAGGTTGAGCACATGCAGTTGTAAAAAAGAACAAGCTGCATGCTTACTGTGTGCATTAATGTCATATGTTCATTGTTCATACCTTGCACTGTGTTGTTGAGCACATCATTTGCTGTAGTGTGGGATTGAACTGAGGGAAGTTCAGTGACAGGTTTTTGCAGGTTGAGGAGAAGGTGGAGCTCCTGGTCATCTTCATCATCATCAGGAGGAATGGTTGTGGAGATGCTGACAGACACTGTGCTGCCTGAAATGGGCTTTACACTACAGGGAACACCCAGACTGGACTCTCGGCCTGCTGGAGGAGCTTTCAGTCCTGCTGTCCCAGTCAGGTCTGTTCTGTGAGACACCGTCATCGGCGGCAGATCAACAGGTGTCGACTCCTGAAATATCATAAAGCACAGTGACTTCCTAGGATATTGACAGCCACTGTAAACATGAGCAATGGAGGCTGTGAATTTTTTTTTATTCTCAAAAACTGCTCTCGTTGAGCATAAACTATTGCAAACATTAAAAATTGGTCTAATGTAAAGTAAAACATCTAAAAAATGATAACTTTGTTAAATGTATGTGACCCTGGACCACAAAAACAATCATAAGGGGACATTTTTTGAAATTGAGATTTATATAGTTGAAGTCAGAATTATTAGCCCCCCTGTTTATTTTTTTCCCTATTTCTGTTTAACGGAGATATTTTTCAACACATTTCTAAACATAATAATTTTAATAACTCATTTCCAATCATTTATTATATCTTTGCCATGATGAAAGAAATAATATTTGACTAGATATTTTTCAAGACACTTCTATACAGCTTAAAGTGACATTTATAGACTTACCTAGGTTAATTAGGTGAACTAGGCAGGTTAGGGTAATTAGGCAAGTTATTGTATACCAATGGTTTGTTCAGTAGGCTTTCGAAAAATAATATAGCTTAAAGGGGCCAATAATTGTGACCTTAAATTGTAGTTTAAATTAAAGCTTTTATTCTAGCTAAAATAAAACAAATAAGACTTTATCCAAAAGCAAAAACATACTGTGAAATTTCCTTGCTCTGTAAAACATCATTTGGGAAATATAAAAAAGAAAGAAAAATTCAAAGGGGGGCTAATAATTCAGACTTCAACTGTATATCATCTAAAAGCTTATTACAAAAAAAGCTTTTCACGTTTGTATGGCTTGTTGGAACAGGACATTAGGGACAATACATACAATAAATACAACTATTCACAAATATGTAATCTGAGGGTTGAAAAATGAAGGGGCGAACGTGCTTTTCCCATAGCAGGTCCTTGCCTCTGGAACGTGCTTAGAACTGAAAAAAAGGCTTTGTCACGGTCTATTTTTGAGTCAAAATTAAATACTCATTTATTTTCTAGGTCTTTTGAAGCATAATAAGTCCTTCCCTGCAAGGGGGGGGGGGGGGGGGTGTTCTTGTTCGTAATCTTGTCAGTGATGTCCACTGTGGTAGTATCTTTTAATTATGCTCTTTTTTATGTTACACCTTCTATGCTCTCTTCTATTATGTGCCTATTGGTGTTACTGTCTTTTGTGCCCATACTGTTTGTTTATTTTTTCTCTGTTAAAGCACTTTGTGCAGCCTTGTGGCAGTTAGAAATGTGCTATATAAATAAATTGAACTTAAACTTGGTCCAGGGTCAGACGTGTGCCACAATGATCAATTCTTATGAGCTAAATCTAAATATTCCATTAATATTTCACAAATTTTAGTACTAGGTGACTACAAAGAGGAAATTGTTCAACCATGACTTCTTGCTTCACAAAGTATGAAAAAAATATGAACAAACAGAGAAGCCAAACTCAAACATACATTATAATGACTAAAAGACCAAAAACAGGTATAAAAGCAAAAAGCTGTTCAGAAAGATCTGCTAAAATAAAACACTGATAAATGACAATTTCCACCATCAGAGCAACAACTAAAGCTAAATCAGCCTGGAGGAGGATGTGTCTCTGTCTTGCTTGAATACACTGTTAGGACTAGGAGGTCTGTCACTGTTTAAGCAGGCACAAAACTCCCCAAGAATCACAGCTGGAGAATTACAGAAGTCAGTCTATTAATCTTGGGGTCTAAAAGTCTCCCAAACAACAATATGACACCACATCACCACAAACAGGTTGAAAGGGTTTGAAACTCAAGCATTGTCAGTTTTTGGTTAATATTTCAGTCAAGAATCCACAGCCTTCTTAAATCATATTAATGAAAAAGGTACTGTAAATCATCTGTTTGGACAGAAGTGAGAGATGAACCTGAATGAGCTCAGCTTCCAGGTTGAGTCTTGTGTGGAGAGGAAGCTCTTGAAGAGACTCACTTAAAGCTGGCAGATCTATAAACAGAGCAGGAATCTGAAGAAATCACAAATCAAACATGAGAACAGATTTAACAAAAGGACTGTTTATAATCAACGTTTATAGATATAATGGTGTGTGAAGTTGTAGACCTGATTTTTTGCCAGTAAGTCCAACTCCCAGTCCTTCTCATCAGAGAACCTGAATTGTGTGAAAGAGTCACCTGAAACACAACCAGAGAACAACTTTAAAAAATGTATTTTTTTAGTGTATAGAGTGAGTTTACAGCTATTTCAGCTTCTTTGGCTGTGTCATAGCAAAAAAAAAAAAAAAAAGACGGTTCAAGTTTACCTCATTTTTTAAATCCCTATTTTTATATATGGCCTAAAGCTGAAGCAGAGTAAAACTGAATCACCAGTTATTGCATACATTTTGCATTAACACCTTTAGGAAGTTTACAGGTTTTATTTATTTTATTTAGAGTGATAAGTTAATGTGATCCTCATAGTAAATGTTTAGCTAAGTACTGCTCTGGCTTTGTCTATTACTGCTTTTATTGGTGAAATAAAAATGTATTATATAATACAACATAGTGTCAAATTTCACAATCATTTCACAATTGCAATCACAATAGCAGGCTGATATTCAGGAAAACAGCATTCATGCTATGATAGGTTTTGTTATTTTTTGTCTTTACTGCATAATGTGAGCTCACATGGCATAAACAAAACAATTATAAAATAATCATAAATTATATCAAAATATTTCACTTCATAAAAATGCCTTTGAATAGTTTTCATACTCGATGACCATAAGCACAGCTCACAACATGAACATGAATAACAGCTTTTGGTGCATCCCTTATTATTTACACATTGTATGACATTGTATTTACTTACATTACGTCTGTGTAAAATCAAAACTGACCTTGCTTATTTTGCTAGCGCATGTTGTCATTCTTTATATGAAAAATTAATCAGTGCATGTTAAGCCACTGAAAAAAAAGTTTGTTTTGGTAATCTAATCTTTTAAGTCTGAACATTTACTTCAGTCAGGAGTACATCAACAAACTGAAATAAAAGTCTCATCAACTTCCGGCTCACCTGGACTTTAAAGCTATCGGAACATCGGCAATAATATAAAAAAGCCGGATAGCAATAGTTCATTAATTGCATGGAGGCAAGCAATTGCATGTCTTTAAAATATCCAATGTTTTTCTTAGATCTAAATCATTTAATACTTGCAATAATCTGCAAATTTCAGACCTGAGTCAAATATATAGAGAATGTCAGAAGTGCCTCAACTGGTGTAGATTATGCTCAAGCGTTTGGATTAAAACATCTTGGACAAACTGACAATACTTTAGTGAATCAAAACTGGAATCGCAAAAATGTATAATTTACATATAACAACAGCTCTGGCTTTACTTAAGTTTATTAAATAAACATGTTCTATATGTGAAATAAAAGAATGATGTTAATAGAAAGACTGAAGAGCAAAAAAAAAATCCCCTTTGAAGATTGTCATATTGCAATTTCCTGGGCTGAATGTTAGATGGATCAAATCCATGTTCAATCAAATTTACTTAATCAAAACAAAACTAGTGGGCAAAGATTAATCGCATCCAAAATAAAAGTTTGTTTTAACACAATTTATGTGTGTACTAGATATATTAATTATGTTTATGTTATACACAGTGGGTAGCACAATCGTCTCACAGCAAGAAGGCTGCTGGTTCAAGCCCCAGTGGGGTCAGTTGGCGTTTCTGTATGGAGTTTGCATATTCTCCCCATGTTTGCGTGAGTTTCCTCCGGGTGCTCCGGTTTCCCCCACAAGTCCAAATACATTTGGTACAGGTAAATTTGTTAAGCTAAATTGGCTGTAGTGTAAGAGTGTAAATAAATGTTTCCCAGTGATAATTTGCAGCCGGAAGGGCATCCGCTGCGTAAAACATATGCTGGATAAGTTGGCGGTTCATTCCACTGTGGCAAGCCCAGATTAATAAAGGGACTAAGCCGAAAATAAAATGAATGAATGAATATGTGATGTTTTCACATGACGCTATTATGTTTATCGTGAATCATCAATCTATTTTAAAAGGACAATAAAATTGTTTATCACAATAAATTGTGGGGTAGTATATCGTACAACACAAATCTGATAACGTGACAGGCCTGCTTTTAATTTGGATGCGATTAATGACAATTTTTGCAAAAAAACTAGTGCTGTTAGTGTATGCAAATGACCAATATTGGCATCACAATCAACCAAAAGCATTTTTCTTAAAATTGTTATCAACCCCAAAAGAAATTCTATCAGTGCATCTCAATCACAAATAATATTTACAGTCTCTACTTTGATTTCAACCCCTTAATTATACAGTAACCGTGAGACAAGGACACAAGCAAGCAAAAACACTTCTCAGATCTGCATGTTTGAAACACTCTGCCACAACTGGACGCTTCGTCTTTGAAGTCATTTTCACCTTGACACAAGCAGCGTGAATAGTGAAGTGGCAGCGTGTTGGGACAGCTGAAGAAAGAAGCTCTGAGTCTGTCACACACAGCTGTCCCAGGCAGAACAGCAGGCCTCGCTAACGCTCTTTCATTTAAGACACACTTGCCAAGTGCAGTTGGCCAAACTGACAGCGAGGAAATAGCGCATGGTATCAAGGTCAAGTGGAGAGATGCTTCTTCAAAAGAGCATTCACAGCCAATCCGCCAGCAGAAAACTCATGTAAAGTGTTAAAAAGGATCAAGAAACATCTGAAAGAAGTGTTGTCAAAAGTATCTGCACTTCAATATATCAATACTGAAATATCTGAAACTGGACTTCAAATTGCTCTTTTACAGTATCAACACCTGTTTAGATTCACAAATAATGTCAAAATACCTGTAATTAAAACAAAAACTACTAAAGCTGCTTCCCAAATGGCACACTATACACTCATGCACTAACATACACAACAGGATAGTATATGTATGTAGTGTCGTCCCAAATGGCACACTAATGATTTTTTAAAATGCGGAAATTCAAACCGTTTCCCTGATGACGTTTGACAGTTGCCAAATCAGTGAAATAAACGACTTATCAAATAATATCTGCCGTGAGTATAACCGCATTTACCATCGGGAGGCGCTATAATCAATCTTGTAGGAGAATTTTGCTTTCACCATCCAAAATAAATAAAGTTATTCAACATGTGCGCCCGATAGCTCCGCCCCTTCCGCTATGTGAGCAAACCTGCGGTCGTTGAGTGCGTGAAGTGTCCATCATAACACACTTCATTTTAGTGGCTGAATGAGTGCATCATCCGGGTAATTAAAGTGCACTTATTATTTTTAGAGTTTTCAGTGTGAACACACTACTTACACTATTTATACTACAAAATGGCATACAATAGTGCATAAGTATGCGATTTGGGACGCAGCATAAGTCTAAAGCCGTGGTGTAAAGTAACAAATTACTAATACTTAAATTACTGCGAGTAGTTTTCTTAGGAATTGTACTTTACTAAGTAGTTTTAAAAATGTGTACTTTTTCTTTCCATTGGGTACATTTTATTGCTGTATCTGTACTTTTACTCTGCTATTTTTCTTCAACCTGCAGTCACTAAGTTACTTTATTTTTTCTTTTCTACAGTGATTGGCTAAAGTAGAAAAATCAGTCCTGTTATTCCTGTCCAATACAATCACACATATAAAGTAAATCTCATACTAAACCAAGACATGGGTGTTTTTAATGCAGTAAACCATCTGGAAGGATTAAAGGTGTCCAAGAAGATGCCCAAAATCATCACACGCAATGACCCAGAGACAGTTTAGACTGCAGGTCACTAATAAGAAGATGATGTCGACTGTATGATGACTGAAATCACTCAACAACCTTTAACAATCACTAAATAAACTACAGAATGTTACGTTTTCACACACATGCACAAATTGCATGTAAGCGCATCAGCCTTTCACAGTGTAATACTCACAACTCTTGAGTACTTTTCAAAGGGCTACTTTTCACTCATGCTTTGAGTAATATTTACAACAGATACTTTTACTTTGCTTGCACTACATTTTTGGGCATGTAATGGTACATTTACTTGAGTATGATTTTTTCAGAACTCTTTCCACCACTGGGCTAAAGAGAATACAAAATGGCTGAGAAAGAAAAGTATTGTTACTTAAAGTGATAACCATGCTAGTGTCTTTAAAGAGACCCTATTATGGTTTTTTTTAAATGACCTTCCATGCAGTGTGTAACACAGCTCTAAGTAAATCTGAAAGTGCACCATGTTTAAAACTGTTGCTTCTTTAATGAAACAGTCGACTTAAGAGTCGAATAAATTAATCAAGTTGCGTTCGGATCTTTTGCTTAAACTCATCGACGTCGATATGGTACATCACCAAATAGTACCAGTTCTGGTAAATGGTGAACGCGCCTTTCCCATCTGACACTAGCAGGACTGGGGGATCACGAGACTGATTACGAAGATGACAACCACTGAAAGATGGTGATGCGGCTGGGAAACCCGCCTTTGTGGTCTTCATTACAGATATGGAGAATTATATAAAGTTGATTTCTGGATTGTCTAAAAAGAAAGCTTTAAAAAGTGTCAAAATATGCTCTGCTTTAAAGATCTTTGTATAAGTACCTTAAATTAACCCTTGTTTTTGCAAAAAAAAAAATTCAGGTTTTTTTCTCTTTCTCCCTTCTTTTTATCTCTTATGTTTTTTTTTTCATTGTTTCATACTGTACTTTTTGTTAATGTCATTTGTTAATTTATACAGTGGTACAGTGTATGTATGTATGTATGTATGTATGTATGTATCTAAGCATGTATGTATGTTCTAGGCTTCAGCAATAAAAAAATTTTTAAAAAAAGATGCGGCTAGGATAAAGTTCATTTTCACAACAATACCACAGTATAGCGAACCGTGTGCTGTGTTTGCTACTGTCATTTTTCAGATTTTTTAATACAATAACCTACGCTGCAATGCGGGATTCGCCAGCTGTTTGCTATTAAAGAAAGGAGCAGCAGAGACTACTATATATGGGACTTTGTCAGACATTGACAGGGACTTTGTCAGTAACTGTTACAGTTCATATGGACCAGTTTCTTCTTCCTCCAGATCATAACATGTAAATGTGATTAAAATTGATGCCTTGTTTTGTGTAGTTTGCAAAATATGTGCTTAAATGTGTGTTGTAACTTGTAAACGCTCCGTG